GTGGAAAATTGGATCTCTTTCTTAATTATTAGAAGGCTACCAGACGTTTTGCTGAAATGAGTTCGATCTTACGGCAATGAAGCCCATTACAAAAGTGCATACCCCGAAGTCTCTTAAACTTCAGTTTCAGTCAGAACCACCCCTTTTTAATTTAACTTTCTTTCATCTGTGCCCTTCGTACTAGAAGAAATAGTGCGTTGCAGACACAAAGCCACTAGTCAAGTTTTGAGAAACACTGCTATAGAATGACTTAGTCATAGTGAAAAACAAAAAATGAATAGAGATGTGTATCATTAAGAGAGGCTCTCAAGGACTGTCCAAAACGTCGAATTTAAAAACGATAGGGGAACTACCATGACAATACTATTCCTTATGCATAAACCTTAATCCAATAGTTTTCAGATACCCCAACGGGTAAGCCTAGTACAATTCTTACTAAATGGGACTCGTTACAGTTCATAATTCAGAAGAACAAACTAGGTCACGACAAAAAAAAAAATCTGTAATGTTTTCCAGGTAAGGAAACAAATAGTGCATCTACATTCACGTGAAACTAGCGAAGCGTGAAGATATACGAAGCGACTGCCCCTGATTACGTATGTATGTAATAAAGTCTATGGCGTCTAAGAGAATCACACACAATACAGATTTATTCACTTTCATACCAGTTCTGCTATAGCATGTAATACATCTGAACATACAATGCAAATAGCGGGCAAAGCCGTTCTCTAGTATAAACCTTTCTGTAAAGGTACCTCAGAGTCTATTTGACATCCACCACATCGGTCACTATTGTTACACACATGCGTATACAATGACTCTGCCACGATTGGAAAAATAAATAAAAAATGAGTTTCCATCAAAATACGTGCTGAAACCCTATCTCGATTTCAATGTTCACAGGCGATCCTCCTAAAATTGACAGACGTTTAGTTCTTTAACAGCAAAATGACAAAGGAGTGTCCTTTCAATAAGTTTGACTGTGAAACGGAAACCTATATTTATCACGACATATTGGCAAGTGACCTAAGCAGTAGGAGTATTTCAAAACTGACCTAAGCAATAGGGATATTTCAAAACTGACCAAAGCAATAGGAGTATTTCAAAACTGACCTAAGCAATAGGAGTATTTCAAAACTCTATTGTGAAGGGGAATGAATCTTCAAGTCATTAAGTCACAACTAAAACAAAATACTTTACATTGGGAGTTCACTTTTTCTATGGATTGAGCTATATGTTGTTTGTTCATATATGAACAAAATGTAACAGTAATTGTTACACAGAAACGTGACGGAACACTTGTTACAAATTATGAATTTTAAGCATCTTAATGATTTTAGAACATGTATTATTTTTTCTAAATGACACTATTCATGGATTGCAGGAGCGTTAAAATTCTCATAGTAGGCTACAAAGTAACCAAAAGATTAAAAGGGAAATAAAGTCTATTTAGCCTAGTACAAGTAAAGAATGAATAAAGCAACGCACCTTTGTACCCTTCACTACAGAAAAACTTCAATAGCGTCCCTTTGTGAGACCCTTGACTCGCATGGACCTCAAGCTGGACCCAAGTTTCACACACTGCCTAAAACAACCGAAAATTAATATAAACCTTACTGAACATACAAGCGTTGGTTCCAGTTCTGAGAAATAATTGAAATGTAGGACGGCTCATTTTAAGGAAGCAAAACCAAGCAGAAAACATCGATCTATAAACTAGAATTAAGCCTTGATGAGGTTTTTAATTCACCGACTAGCTTCAAGATTGAGCGACATCTGGCGCTCAACCAAGGCCTACTGTATAACTTTGGTACAAACTAAGCAGGTGGTACAGAAAATGAGATTTAACTGACATCTTTTTTTTTTTTTTTTACACATAATCACAAACAGTTTACACTTGTAAACTAGATCAAGGTAATAAAGGCATGCTAGCTAATATACATTTTTAATCATACACTATCGTTAGTCTCCGAAAGAAAGGAATGAAGGCAGCTGACTGTCACATAGGTAGGTCGCAAAGCATTCATGCATACAGAAATATAAAAAAATTTTACGGACGGACATTTTAACAAATACAAATAGTTTTTCTAGTGTTATCAAATACTCACGCCTAGTTGGAATACCGCTATTTCTAGTGCTTTCTGTGAGTGAGTGAGTGTGTGAGTTTATGGATGAAAACATTGCATGAAGGATTACATTTCAATCTTAACCCCGACCACCTCTCTTAAAATACTTCACGCCAGGATGCGAAATCTTTTTTTTTCCCCGCATAGGCAATCGTTAAAAACAACATAATTGTAAACAAACCAAACTAAATCCAAGTGAATGATCATCTGGAAGTGGCACATATTCCATCATTGTTTTCTGGCCTGTAAGCCCAAACGAAGGGGACACGTAAGGTGCACTCCAATGTCTGCACCCAAGTGGCTATCAGCGACTTGTTTATGCAGACCGCCTTTCTCTTGTTCCTGTTGCAACATCTCCACAGTTCCCCACTACCACCGTTTTACGTCACATGCACGTCTTCGATAAATCAGTCTATACACAGTGGCGTACGTAACTCTTTTTTTTTTCGAAACACTTTAACACGGAGTAAGGCTAGAGAACACAAGGGAGGGGGGGGGGGGGGAGACCTAAAACCTACAGGGTTGGCTTACTTTTGAATTGAGGTTGCGGCACTAATGGTTTCGGGGGGGGGGGGGGCCTGATGCGGCCTGCCCACATACGCCCATGTCTATGCAGAATTGTTTTCTATACGAAGATGTATCATATCATAGTGTCTCATAATGTACAGCTCATATCACAACATCTTCGTAGGTTAAGTGGCGCCTTTGTTATGTTACTGTACAACACGTGTCAATGTACATTGCGTATCATATGTTCGTACAACCGTTATCGTTTCAATGTTCCGCCCGTAGCATACCTTTGCTGGGCGGTAAAGCGCTTGTATTCCGACCCGGGGGTCCCGGATCCTGGTGACGACTGGGATTTTTAATTTAAGGATCTTTAGGGCGCCTCAAAGTCCACCCAGCTCTAATGGGTCCCTGACCGTAGTCGGGGAAAAGTAAAGACCTGAGAGCACAGACGTGAGTTGCCAGGAAACACATATTTGGATTCTTTATTGCAATGCTGTAAACATTGTGTGAAGAACTAACATTGGAAATGTTCGATTGGTTTTGCAGCTTAAAAACAGTAAAATTGCATCAATTATTTTGAATCAATCATGTAATTTATTTGTAATTAATTTAGGCTAACAATAATAAATTGATGCGATTACAGATATACATTTTTTGTTTTGTTTTTGTTTAGCGCATTTTTCATACTTATAAAAATGTTCAGTGCAATGGTCCCAATCACTTTTGAGGACTAATTGTGCCAAGTTTCAACTTGATCGAGAATAAGTGAGAGAAATAACGTTTACTATATTCCACCCAGACAGATAGACAGAATAGATAAAAGCTTTCTTAAAAAAATGTTCTTTCTCGACTTCCAATACGCATGGAGTTGACGGGAAAAAAATATTTTTAGAAAATGTTCTCTCTAAAAAAAAAACAAGGTTACAAAAGACAGTTTGTGTGGAAACAAACTCATAATCGGCACCCGAAGTGGTCCACCCAGGCAGGCTTCAATATTTTCAGCAAGAACATCCGAATGAAATTATATCAAAGACAAATGAGAGATAAGAATGGAGAAAGAAGGTTAACAGATCTTGTGTAGTGCCCCAACGGTTCAGCAGATCAAAGGATAGGTGAAAGTGAATGTAAAGTTAGATGTGAACCTGGCCTAACTTCTAGTTCCCCTTATAGATCTTGTGGTCTATAGGGCAGATGATGTAAAGTTCATCTGTTTTTGTGGCCTACGGTTAACAAGGGTGTCATGTAGCCAGCACAACGATCAACCGCCCCAACTAATGTCAGGTACCCATTAGAGCTGAGTGGACTCAGAGGCGCCCAAAGATTCCCAGTCTTCACCTGGATTCGAACACGGGACCCCCGGTTCGGAAGCCAAGCGCTTTACCGCTCAGCCTCCGCGCCTCCACTGATGTCATATATTTGATCTAATTGTTTTGAAAAGGCTCAGTCTTTTAATTGAATCCTCAAAAAAAAAAAAAAAAAAATTCCCAATAAAAAAAAAAGTTTAGGAAAATGACATTTACAAGATTACTATTCGTTTTAAATTAGGTATAATTTATAATACATACTAATTAGCTTTTTCTTTTTAAAAAACTGCTTGCATAACTGGTTTTAAAAATTAGATTATTCGCTTTCAGAAAAAAAAAGTAGCCGTTGCATCAGAACTTTGAATGGTCTAAAATATTGTGATGTCGGATTGTCAGTATCTTTTCTAGTTTACGAGATCTAAACGGGACGGACGGACAGACATTTCACACAAAACTAATAGCGTCTTTTCCCGCTAAAAAACAAGGAAATGTCTGCGTTATGTGAGCAGAACTTAACACCGTTTCAATTTATAAAAAGTCTTACTGAAACACCAAAAAAAAAAAAAAAAAAAGAATGAGTTTATCTGTTACAGATAGTAATTATCAGATTTAGAACTTTTCAAGTGCAGCTCGAATAAAGTCAGAGTCAAGCATGACCTTGATCAATGTGGTTATTACCTTCGTAGTAGCATGTACCGTCACCACACAGTTCAAGAAAAAATAAATGTAATGAATTCATTACTGTAAGTACTGCAAGTATTAATAGTGTCAGAATCTTTCAATAATATAAAGAGTGAGGAAGAATGCTAGATCTATACATATTGGTTTCTAGCCTAACGTTGAATGTGCTGATCAAAAGTTTGTTGTCAAGCAAGGGTAAGACATGAAGCAAGCATATGTTGACAAAACTGAATCCCTCAACTTTTCCATGAGTTTCAAAGTTGGTTAGGAGTCTACGTCGACCTAAAAGTATTGGGAACACATCTGAAAGCAAGCACATTTTCGAGACACGCAGACAGACTGTCACTTAAGTTGGGCCCGATGTGTTTAAAAAAAAAAGCATATTCAGAAGACCTGCAAGGCAGCCGGGGCCTGCCAATGACAGCGAGGCTGAACGACGGCTCGCACAATACATAAACAAATAAAACTCCTCACAACTCAGTCTGTGAACCTTCAACAGTGTTACCGGAGGTAGGCGGCAGGTGATAAAGTCCAAATTAAAATGCAAGACAGTCCTGACGCCCCAAAGCCGAGGTTCATATTGTCTTGCACAGACTAGCGCCCCTTAATGAGCCGTCACCAACATTTTTTTTTGTAGCCTCCCATGCCACGGAGTCCAGACTCGTAAAAATTGGGAAAAGCTTTTAGCCCAAATGCAAATTGTGGATATCTGACACGAAGCTTGGGTGACGTTCAATGCGAGATAGATGGGGTAGGGGCTCGTTCGGAATATGGTTCGATAGACTGGATGCGATTGTATGTGATAGACTTTCCGCTTGCAAGAGCATGGGTGACACACTTCAGAAAGACAATGTAATAAAAAGACAGAAAACGCAACATGAAGGGGTTGGATGTGGCCCGGAAGGGGGGGGGGGCGTATACAATAATGACTAAAGCTATGAAGTCAGAAATGGATTGTGGGAAGGAGATTTGGGAAGGGAGGAGTGTGTGTGTGGCAAGAACATTAACGGCCATGCTAAGTGGAAGCAGAAATAAGAAGCAGAAATAAGAAACAGCAAGACCGGCATGGCGACAGCAGTTATGGTCAGCAGATGAAGCGAGTAAGCGGTCGTTCAAACTCATTACCATCGGACAGTTGAAGGGACCACGGATGTAACCGTGGATATTTCAGCCACTGTAAATAACTGAGCTGATATTACCCCGTGGCCAAGGAATAAAAAAAAAAAAAAAGCCCCCTTAAGATTAGCCTAATGTGAATCGATTAACTCTTCGCAATGACGTACCTTGGAACTAAAATATTTCGTAAAATGTTCACTTTGAAAAATAAAGAAGCCTCCATTACAAGAAGACTGAAGGTACAGCGTTTTTGCAGCCTCCAAACAGAAGAGAAATGAACAATTATTGACCTTTGGTTGTTGTTTTTTCTCTAATGATGCTAAATTCCTAAGTTATACCTTTTTTTCACATTGTATATTATGAGTCTGTTCAAGAGAACAACTCCACTATTCATATGTGTGTATGTCTGCATCGTAGGCAATCTTCCATGCGAAAAATGCCTTTACTGGCTTTAGAGATCTTTAGTCAAAAGCGTGTCCAAGCACAAACAGAGATGAAGACAAAGTCATGCAAAAAAAAAAAAAAAAAAAAGCAAACGTGAAATATAAGTAGGTAAGCAATGAGTCAATGTCTATGAGTATATTAGTCAAGGAGTAAACCACAAGTATGGATGAGCACTTCCTATCAGCTAGTCAAACTAGTCAAGTGAAACGTAGACATGGACATTTTTAGCAAATTATAAAAAAAAAAAAAGAAGGAAGTGAAGTTCTATTCTGAAAGCCATCCTCTGGTTCGCATACAGATGACTCCGTTTGTTAGTTTCCTAATGGCTAACTAAAATGTATGTATGACCAAGTACACGTGTTTAATGTTACTTGGGGAACAACATATATTCCAAACTGTGCAGCAATAAGATATTAGTGTTTAAACTATAAATGATATCATTTTACATTAAGCAATCCTCGTCTTTTCAATGGAACTGTACTGCGACTCCAAGAGAGAGTTTCTCAGTTCTCGATGACTTCAGGATTTCAATGTACGGTATTTTCTGTTCACTGCAAATCAAATCAATTCTAGTTAATGAATTTACATTTTACCCACGAACATCCCAAAAGAGCACAGAACCTGTGGTGTTCCGTCAACTGCCGCTGTTGTCACACACACACACACATATTTTCTAGCATCCCTCCATGTGCAAAGCGGCGGTGTCGTGACAGGGGGGTGGGGACCTTTCAAGTTGACCTTTAACATTTTGTTTTGAAATTAAACATCGACCGTGTAAGACTCGTCTAGTTCACTCATCATTTCATAATTAGCTCTCTGAACAATCAGCAAACACACACACACAGACTAGCATTTACAGTTGACAGTGGACGCTGCACAAACCACTTTATACTCTAAGGAGCATTACGTTCAATAGTCAGCATAAGAATATTATTATAATCCCTTTCATGTGTTCTTTTCTTTTCACAAAGACAAAGCCAATGGACGAAGGACTCGTTTAAAACAATCGCATCTATTATTAGTAATTCTGGCCTGGTTTGAAAGACCACTTCGAGATCTTGCGGTATACGCATCTGGGTTGGTGACGGCGAACTCTAACTGGTTAACAAGGGTGTTATGTGACCATAACAACGACCAATCAAGTTTACCATTCCGAGACGAGGCCAGGTAAATCTACCTGCACCTGGATCGTTTCGGCGGATAGCGGATCGGCAACTTATTTTTTTAATCAAACTTTAATTTAAAAAAAAAACATCTTTGGCATTAGCATTAAGAAAGAAAAACAAAAGCATTAACACGTTATTATGTTTGCTTAACTCTTTCTCTCCTAACTGACGATACCAATGTTGATTCCACTAGAATGTGATAAATAATTATGGAGAGAAAGAGTTCAAACAGACTTAAAACTTTCTAGCCACGAAGACAACAAGAACAAAATCTTTTCCAAACTGCTAGCGGTGCTACTAAAAATGAACAAAGTGGATGTAAACATGAGACAAACATGTTTGAATTGATTACCACAAAGGTATGGGTCACTTTGGGCTTCTAATTAAGGCGTTGGTAGTCATAATAAATGTAAAAATTATTATTATTATTATAATCACTCAAGAACTACACTACATAGCAAATCTCAGAGACACGAAGAATGAAAAAATGAACAAAAAGGTGGGGAGGATAGGGTTGAAGAGAATTGCAAAGAGGAAGTCACGGAATAAAATGGGGAGGGGGAAAGATTCTTTGTGAGTAAAAAAATTAAAAATAATAAATAAATAAAAAAGACTAGGGTATACGTCTAAATACAAAAGTTGAAAAGTATTTGGCAACACCTTGCCCCAATTTATTGTGAAATGCATGAATTAGCAGAAGCCGTTGCATAAAACAACACTTCTAATGTCTCAGAAAATACACGTCTCCTTAATAACAGAAGTTCCTTCCATTTTTTTTATTCATAATCTTTGTTTCAACTTAATCTCAGACTGATTTCGTTTTGACTTTTTAAAAAATAAGGATTTAATAGATACATTGTTAATATAATCAAGTTCTTCTTTTTCTTGACGTTTTCTCCATTTGGACCTTTTCTTTGTTAAACCAAGTGACCTTTTTTTTTCAACATCATAATTAATTTATATTTTTTGTTTTTTTGTTTTAAGGGAAACGCGATTACACCTACGAGCTACTATAACGTTAAGCCATCAATTGATATATATATACATGTATTTGCACACACAGACACTGACGGGTAGTCTCTGAAAGTACTCCAATTGTTACTTGATTTTATGCCAGATACACGATGGAGTGTGCAGTTATCTGCTTTCAGAAGACAAATTGAACACAAAATTAATTTTCTTGATCTTAATTTAAAAAGTAATTCATCAATTGCAAATAATAAAATTGTTAACTAGTCCCCCCCCCCCTCCCATGTTAATAATATATTAGAGATACCATTTTGACCTAGAGCAATACAGGTTTTGCACACTTCATAAACACTGGACATAGGAAAACACAAGGCCAACACAGCCTTGGTGTGCTGTATGCAGCTGTTTTGTCCCATACAATTTGACATGCATGCAGACAACAAGAAGAATAGGTAGTTAACTGTGTAAGAGGGCTCTCTGGGACAATAAATCAGTCTAAGAAGCCCCTATTCTAAACATGCTCTGGGTGATTCTGATCCTGATGTATTACATCCTGTCAAACCCCCCAACCCTTTCAGCATTCATACAGAGCCCTCTACAGCTCAGTTACAGCACAATAGCATCCATCGTTTGTGTTGTGATTGTAAGCAGAATAGACAACGCATGTACAACGCCCAGACACAATAAGATTAACAGTCAGTGGAGCATGAACTAAAAAAGAAAAAACAAAAAAAAAACAACTTAAAAACGATTAGGGTCTCAGATTTCTAACTTGAAAATCTGGTGGTCATTTTTTGAATGAAGACTTGCACTCCATTGGATTCACAAAGATATCAGTTTTTAATACAATGAATTTAAATAGAAAATTTATACTTAAAAAAAAAAAAAAAAGCTAGAGATGCACTGTTCTAACTTCAAGGCAATAGTTTGCTCCAGATTACTCAAGGGCCCACTAAGATAGGGCTTCGCTTAACTGAGTAACCATTGCGAGCATTCACTCTACTAAAAAAAAAAAAATCCAGTCTAATACAATACAGTTGTAGTTCCTGGAACAAAACCAAAACACCAAAAAGACACAAATGAATAAACCGGACAACAATGACAATAAAAAAAAAGAATGAAAATTTGGCAAAATATTTAAATGTAGAGCTTCAATTTATATTTTAAAAATCCAATACAGCTTGAAATTCTTTATGCTTCCCCCGCCCTCCCTTTTGTTTAAAGGTAATTGTGCAAAAGCCACATTAACAAAATGCCAACAAAAGTGAATATCAAGTGCATTTGTTTAGTATCAAAACATATATATCCTAAAAGAGGGAATGTAATGAGTACCTAATATTAAAGGTGCTTGCAACCTGACATCCTTAAAGCCAATAGCTACTGAACCAAGTGAAGTTCAAAACGCCCCCCTCCCCCTGGATTACCAGATCTTAAACTCATTATTAACAAGTTGCAAAAGTCTGGTGATTTTGTAAACTATCAGTGGCCCATTAAAAGATGGCTGGACTCAATGGATGTTATAGCACTAAGAAATGTGTGTGTGTATGTGTGTAAATATGTCAATACACCCTACAATCCCCTAACAACAAATGTGGACAAAGGAACTGTCTCAATAATTTGAGCTATTGGAAAATATCAACCAAGGGTGACACCTCAATAAATGGCGCTAGCAAAAACTTTCAGGGAGAGTTGGGGGCAAAGAGTCACTGTCTCTACTCTGGCCACAGGACGAAATCTTATTAGTGAACATAGGGTTAGGTAGAGCATGGGACTAGCTTATATCCATTTCTGAACTTTATCTCAAGTCAGTACCTGTCTTTGAACAACAGACTGTGATGTTATAGTGCATTAGGTACAACTCTGTGGATAACTGTTCTATTATATGTATGTATTCTAATGTTTAAATGACGTATATGTTTTCTGTGTTTTAATAGACAGTCAGACAAAAAAAAAAAAAAAAAATCAGTTTTGTAGCTAATTACACTTTTGTTTCCTTGCCTTTGACAGTATTCAGATTCATTACAACTACCAAAAACTAATTTTTATATTTCACATCTCATTTTCAGCATTATGCTTCTTGTGAGTGTCAAATGTTTTGTATGAAACGCTTTGATGCACAATGCATAATAGGTTAAGCATCAGTAGTTTTTTAAGTCAACTAGCAGTACAATAAAGAACTACACGATAGTGCAAAATTTAAGTTGTAATGATATTGGTGAAAAACAATCTACTCTTTAATTACTGGAGTAGACCAGTCTATTTTGAAGGAAAATATGCTATCAGAAAGATAAAACTTTAAAGCTGTTTAGTGCTCATTTCCTCACCAATACAAAGGGCTCTAAAAATAAATATATATACAATTTTTATATCAATTCAAATTCTGGTTCTTTATAGACATCTTAACTTAGATAATGCTGAAAATTCAGATAAAGATATATATGTACTTTATTTCAGTATGCACGGATTTATTTGTTACATTTTTTTATATTGTGTCATTATAATTGAAAGATTTCTTTATGGTTCATTATCCTGAAATTCAATTTTGTGCCATTAAATTATACCACATGTACATGTTGTAAATTGGAATCATTTTTCTGTAAAACAAAAAAAATGCTTTAAATGCTTGTGTAACTAAATCCATATATATTTTTATATAGAATTAAAATGACATAGAATTACCACAAAACATCAGCAAATGATATATCAACTAATTTAAATTAATGACTTGGATGTGAACCAACCTCTTGATGGAAAACCCTAGCCCAACTATATAATCAAAAGCAATATTATATTGAAGACCTAATTGTGTGAATTAGAATATATATATATATATATATATACTATACTATACATTATTTTGTAAGAAAACAAAATTAGCAAGCTTTAATAAATAATGGCTATGAGCACACTATCAAGATACTAAACACACACACACACACAAAAAGAAAAGATGGACAGACTGAAAAACTTCATGCATAAAATTTACAGTCCAATAACAAATGCAGGAATTTTTTGGACCTAGACTGAACGTTAGATATATTTCAATAGACTCAAGATCTAAATCTTCCTATCACACAAGTTTGGTTAAATCAAAAAAAAAAAAAAGATATTACATCCTACCAATATCTTAGTGTTAATAAGGGACTTACTTAAATCTAGATTCCAGCAGATAGTATCTTTTAGATTGTACAGACGTTACTTCTAAAAAGAAAATAATTATATCCTAGACACATTTCATTTGTCAATCTAGTCATAACCAATAACTTAAACTCTGCTAAGTCGTTGATTTTCCTGGCTGATTCCATTCCCATTTCCTTTCTCTAATTTGTGCTATAATCATGGAATAATAAAATGTGCCTCTATCTTATTGTCTTTCTGAGTATTTCATTACGTTTAGTTAGAGTAAATTATGGTTCAGTATTTTATGTATTATAGCTACTTTACTTTTTATTCTTTTGTATAAAGTGTCTCAAGTTAAGTGATTTTACTAATAGTGTTACTCTAATCAAAGTTTACTTTAAGACAATCTAGAGCTCTAGTATGTTAATATTATCTAAGTCTAGATCTTTTCTAGTCAACAGATTACAATCAACATTTTAGGCATTTAATAAGAAAGGATTTATTCTAGACTATGATTAGCCTAAATATTATACAAAGCTCTAGATCTTGATATTTATATCTATTCTAGAAATAGTCTAGACCTAAATGATGATGATGATTGATGTAGATCTACATTTTATTTAAATTTAAAATAAAATACAGATGTTCCTTTAAAAAAGATTAGATAGCAGTCTAAACTACAGGCTATACGAGTATATGTCTAGAATCTAGTCAAGATCTTATCTAGGTCTACTGTAGACAGTTTCTAAATTGGATTATTAGAGGTCTAGAATAGTCTAGATCTATCCAGTCTAGATAGAATAAAAAGAAAATATATATATATATATATATTGTTCATTATTTAAAAGTTATTTAGAGACTGTTTAGTGTTATTTTTGAGAAAGCATTGGCATTCTTCACTTACTCAGCAGCGTCTAGAATCATGTCATTCTAGATCTAGATTCTAGAGAAATCTAGTTTAATGGCAACTGAAGGCACTAAGACTAAGCTGTGACTAGTCTAAGCTGCATAGACTGCGAGAGACTATTGTCTAGTATAAATATTGTTTTGCCAGTGTCAGAGTCTAGATGAAAGAAGATCTAGTCTACTAGATCTAAATGTAGAACCTAGATTAGTTAATTCTAGTCTCTTATTTTATGACTAGACTACTAAGTAACTAATGACAGTAATTAATGATAATAAATGATTTAATCTTAACTCTACTCTCTAGTGACCTAGTGACTCTAGTTAGACTAGTCTAAGTACTCAAGTCTAAAGTCTAGACCTAGGGCTAGGCTAGTCTAGATAGCTAGCCTAGGTCTAGAGTAGAGAAAGAGGATGATTAGAATCTAGATCTGATTCTAGACTAAGATCATTAGATCTATATTTAAACCTAGAGACGATAGTCTGGATAGATCTAATTCTAGGTTAGCCAGAGCAGAGGGCCAGAGAACGATTTTGTTAAAAATCAGTCATCCGTAGAAAACAAAACAAATCCCTCGGCCTCACAGCAGGCTCCACTCAAAAAGGCTTAGATTAACTGAAACTGAAACATTTAGACACGTACGTTCAAATCATTTGACTAAAATGAGTGATTGTATTTTGAATTGCATTTCTTGGGTGTCTAACTGCTAATATCAAGTGAGAAAAATGACTTACCATGTTTGGATATTGATCACTGCATAAGTTAAATTCCCTATCCAGTTTCAGTGTTCTTCTACACAGGTGATCGCCATTTTGAATATTGTACTGCGCAACTCAATCTGCGCATTGAATTTTGACGTCACAGGTCTTGCCCCCACTGACCTTTGGTAAGGTCAATAAACTGACTCTCTCTCTCTCTCTCTCTCTCTCTCTCTCTCTCTCTCTCTCTCTCTCTCTCTCTCTCTCTCTCTCTCTCTCTCTCTCTCAGAGATACTATATCTAATACAGAGACACGTCCGTTCTCTTCCCTAACCTCCTCCCTTTCTAGAGAGAAACTCTTGCACTTGGCATCAAGTAATCAATTTCTCTCCTCTTCGGAACGCTCACCAGGCATTGCTTGACCGACATACTTTATTTCGCCTAGCTAGCCAAGATTGAACGGTCACAATTTTAAAAAGGCTGCGTGAATTCGAACTTGTATTTATGCGATTTTTGCAGCGGTTTTTTTTTTTTAACTTCAAAAGCAATACTTAGAACTTAGATCTATTTTTTTTAAATCTCGTTCTCAAGTTTTGAGCTAATTAGTTATCAAAGGTAAGCTATTTCCACATATGGCTGCCCTTTAACCAATCATGTCAGTTGTGAAAAGAAGCCTACTTAAATTATTGTGTGATGGCATGCAAAATAGCGTATAGCGCTGAGGGCAGACAACAGTGACCGATCTGTCACACATGATTTGAATCAAGGGTTTACCTGGGTGTGTGTCAGAGTCAACACCTAGCATCACATTAATTACCGCCTTTTAACTGATGCCTTGTATTGTGAATTGGTCGACGATGCAACGTTAGACTTTAGTAAACGCCAGAACGTAAAACTGTTTAGGCCACTAAGGGCCAACAATTATTTTGCTTTGTTTTACATGTTTTAGGTGTTTCTTCAAAATTGAAAATGATTACATCCTTGTTCAAACCTCCCGCAGGACGGCGGGGAAATCGGTGGGCATGGTTTCGAACCTGGGACCAGCGAGACAACAGTCGAAAACGTAGAGTTTTATTGGCAATTATTTTTAATGATACAATAATATAGTTTTATTGGCAATTATTTTTAATGATACAATGGTATAGTTTTATTAGCAATTATTTTTAATGATACAATGGTATAGTTTTATTGGCAATTATTTGTAATGATACAATGGTGCTCTAAACCATTCCAACAACATAAATGAAAAATTGGCCTGATTGTTTAATACAATTTGATGCTTTTTAGACCATAACAACTTGTTTATATGTTTTTCGAATCTTGGACGCTAACAGCAGAATAATACTGGAGAATTCTAGCAATGGAATTGAGATGTTATAGAAGGATACTACGAAGACCGCATTACAAATAAGATTCAAATTAGTGTCACAATGTCAATCGGGCATTACGATGACCTGCTGACCACTATTTTGAAAAACGAAAACTAATAATTTATAGCAATATCACAAGGTCCCCTGGACTCTTAAAGACCTTCCTTCAGGGAACAGAACCAGTAAAGGGACAGAGAAAGAGACGTGAACACAACATTAAGGAATAGACAGGCCTATCATTGAAAGAGATTTTATCCAAAGCAAGCGACAGAGAGGAATAGAAAAAGATGGTAGATAGATCACGTGTGGTGCCCCAATGGTTCAACAGACAAAGTGATAGGTGAAGGGGTGAACCTTTTTTTTTATTTATCATTTCTCAATAATGTAGGGTTAGGGTTAGGGGTTAGGGTTAGGGGTTAGGGTTAGGGTTAGATCTGTCACTAAGGTCAAACAAGGTGCAGAGACTTAGCAAACCAACTTGAATAAGGCTTAGGCCTAATATATGAAATCTTCCTAAGGGAGGCTACTCTACAAGGGAGAGTCTGAAAGGATGATTGATGTTTATTTACAGGTGATATGAGGATACCATAAACATATACAACAGTCTTAGTTTTCAGATCTTGCCAAGAAGGTAAACTATCGCCTCATGTCTTCAGTTTCCTATGAGGTTTGCAGCTCGTGCTGTTCTCTTCCTGTTTGGTTGCCTCAAGAACGGTTGCTCCCAAAAATCTCTTCAGAAATGTCTTTCACTCCCAAGAACGACCCTTCCACTGTTTCTCATACACCTACCTAATCAGACAGCCCACACAGAGAACCTACACTGCTTATTACCTAGATGGACCACCCACTGGCGATGATCCCTTCTAAAACTCTCGGTGGATCGACCCAAGTTCTAGTGGAAGACGTTATATTCTTCCCTTCGACTTAAGTCTCTCCTTATTCTCGTCGAAACATTCCTCCATACTTAGTGATGAATAGTGCCCACCATTAGCGCCCGCGCAAGGCAGAGTTACAACAATATGAAGGCTACTAACTGTAACCGGCTCTTTAAAGTCAACAATCCGTAGTAATGAGAAAAAACAACAACACTTTTTTACCACTATTTGTCATTTATTTGTAATTGAATGCATAAGAAGCAATTATGTTTAGTGAATAAAAGAAAAAAAACAAAGGAAAACAAAGGCTAATGATGATATGTAAAATTTAGAGTGCCATCGTCATTACTCCATAGGCTGACAGGGAAGTGGTAACTATGCACCAAACCTAAGGTCTTTGTTCATTCCGGGTAGAATACGTACACACTTAAAAAGAGAGAGAGAGAATAAGCAAGAGTTAATATATATATAGAGAGAGAGTTAAGAGAGAGAGAGAGAGAGCGAAAGAGTTAAAAGAGAGAGAAAGAGTTAAAGAGAAAGAGTTAAGCAAGAGAGAAAAAACTAAGAGAGAGAGAAAGAGAGGGAGAGAGAAAGTGTTAAAAGAGGCATAGAGAGAGAGTTAAGAGAGAGAGAGAGAAAGAGTTAAGAGAGAGAAAAGGAATTAAGAGAGAGAGAAAGAGTTAAGAGAGGGAGAACGAATAAAGAGAGAGAGAGAATAGATTTAAAAGAGAAAGAGAAAGAGTTAAGAGAGAGCGATCGAGACTATAACAATAAATACATAGATAGAAAGAAAGATGAATGGCAGATGCTCTAGTTTTGCGTGTGGTGTTCAGAGTAAATAAAATCTTGATGTCAAGTTTCTTACTATCAAATGTACCTCTCCTGCTTGATGCCAGTTATGCACAAAGAAGTATATTAGATTTTTTAAAACCATAATCGAAATTGGACGAAATAGTGTCTATGATAGTCTATTTAGTCTATGATTAGAACAGATGGCTGCCTGGTCGTGTGGTATGCGCTTTGGGTTGTATCGATTGAACCCTGCCCAACGCCATCCCTGTCGTCTAAGATGTAATTATCTTCAAAACTGAAGGAACATTCGAAGCATGTAAAACATTTTACAAATATCAAATTATTTACATTGCAAGTATAAAGTTTACACATGAAATCGGACATAAACTGATCATTTAAATCACTTGTCCGAAAAAAAAAAAATTGGTACAACTGTCCAACTTAGCATTTTGTAGCCATTGACTCAGTCTGTGGACCTACTAGGAAACATGTTTTGTGTAAATACTAAAATGTAGACCTTTACTAAATGTTTGATAAAAAGCAACTTCTATAAAGCTCAGTTGTTCAAAATAAAGCCTAGCTTTGAGCCAATGGAGTGAAGAATGCAGAGCAAAAAAAAATTAAAAGCGAGAAAAAAAAAAGACACATTTCGGAAACATAATCCATTGCTCTCCACGCTCAGCCGAGCATGATCGCTCACTCGTTGCAGTAGGTGTGATGAGCTCCAGGATACTGTAGCCGATGGTGGGAAATCTTGGTGGAGTCTGGAGTCTGCGTCACAGCGATATTATTGGATTGTGATACAGGCTTGACTCTTATATGCAATTTTCAAGTCTAGATGTCATTGTATGTGATACAGGCTTGACTCTTATATTCAATGTTGAAGTCTAGATGTCATTTTATGTGATACAGGCTTGACTCTTATATTCAATGGTAAAGTCTATGTGTCATTTTATGTGATACATGCTTGATTCTTATATTCAATGTTCAAGTCTAGATGTCATTTTATGTGATACAGGCTTGATTCTTATATTCAATGTTCAAGTCTAGATGTCATTTTATGTGATACAGGCTTGACTCTTATATTGAATGTTAAATTCTAGATGTCATTTTATCATTTCTCTAGGTTCACGATGTTGATGTATTTTTAAAATGTCTGAACTTGCTCCTCCTAAAGTGCAGATTTATCTTTTTTTATTGGTTCTCTCTCTCTCTCTCTCTCTCTCATCCTCACTCTATTCCAGTTTATATTATTTTTAGCAGCCCTCGTACAAAAAAAAAAGGCGCTGTTGTTTATGTATTATCCGTCTGTGGTGACGTTAAGATTTTAACACTAAATAACGTGTACATAATTTTTACCAAACCAGAGTTGACATAAGCTTTGTACAAAATGGAAGTGAAGTATAATATGAATCATTGAATGCTTGTGTGCATTATAGAGTCAAGTCATCTCTTTCTCGTTTGTAGCACAAAGTAATTTTTTCAAAGCTTATATAAACGCTGTCTCTGTGTCTGCCTGGTAAAACGTTTGTACACGTTATTTCTCCCACACCCAATCTCGGATCAAGCTGAAATTTTGCACAATTATTTCTTTTACCTGACAACACAAGAATCAACAAAATAAAATTAACAAATTTGTTAACTAATAGTAATTAGTAATAATTTTCTTTGGTTTCTCGAACAAGGGAAATAAATTGTACTTGACTGAATTTGTGGTATAAGCTGAATTAGTCCGTTTTATATATCGACGTTTCAACTTGATATGAGAACCGGAAGTGGGTGAAATAACTTGTACAAAATGTGTACACAGACAGACCTAGTGTTGTTGATATAAACTTAGCAATAATTGTGCCACAATGTCTGGAACTGTCGATCAGCAGTAGGTTCAAACTGAGCTGCTCAGTTTCGAAGAACTATTTATCAATCAAAAAGTAACGGAAGAAATTAGCTGATCGAATCTAATGACAACATTCGTGGATTTAGTCAGAACCTTTCACGCACAATTATATGTAGCCTAACGAGACGCATTCTAAGTTTTGGACATAAATAGTTAGAAGTCATAATCTTAATATCGATGGATCAAGGCACATTTAAATTTCTCTTGTTTTTTTTTTTAAACCCTTCTTCTTTCCGAGTCGCCTAACATGGTTACCATTCCTCACCCTAACTCCGTCGTCTTTCCCAAGAGACAAAAGAAAGATGTTATTCACTTGCCCTAACCATCAACCAGTTCATATTCTATTTCTTGTGGAACTAGAGAGTTCCTTCCCTTTCCATTGTTACTGTACAGTTCCCGTGGTGGCGAAGGCAGGGCACCAGTCTTCCTAGCCAAAGAGGGACACACGTTTTACACTAATGACTAGGCTATTCAAAGGACTCGACCCGCCTTCCCCCCCCCCCCCTACCTCAACTTCCACTCTCTCTCCAAGCTTCTTTCCTCCTGGAAGACCAAGAGACTGTAAGCCATGGAGACTCGGCTTCCCGACAGCGGGAGACAGCGCGTGAGCTGGAGAAAGCGGTCATGCGTGCTCACGTGCTTAACTGATCGATATTAGGCCACTGATAATAATAAACAAAAAAAAAATCTTCTAACACTATGATGACCTTATTGTCACAAGTAGGCCATAACAGAGAGAATGAGGAAACGAGAGAGAGAGAGAGAGAAAAAGAGAGAGAAAGAGGGAGGGAGAGAGTAGTACAGAGGGCGATAGAGAGAGAGAGGAAGAGAGAGAAAATGAGAGAGGGACTGAGCGAGAGAGAAAGAGAGAAAGCGAGAGTGATCGATAGAAGATAAAAAATAAAAAAAATATTAAAAAAGAAAATAGATGAACAGAAAAAACCTTGACTCATAATTCGGATAGGATTTGAGAGAGATTTAGTGGAAGGGGAGGCTATATGGCGCCAGAAAACAAATGTTTATTAGCAACGTCAAGCCCCGATACGAAAACAATCCTCAAAAGCTTGGAAAACTCTGATTCCTCTTATGTAAAACGACTCAGGACAGCACTTACAAAGCTCAACAACAACAGCATCAAAACTGTTATTCAATGGATACCAGCTCATATAGAACTAGAAGTAATTGAGAAGGCTGAGACACTCGTCAAGAGTTGGAGAACAAACTCCCAAAAAACAATTGCACTCTATCCAGAAGAAATGAATAAGCTAATAGTAAATAAAATAAATGAGAAATGGACAAGCTCCCATTCAAATCACAAGTAAGATGGTGCATATTAAAAGCTATCCCGACAAGATCAACGTCTAATCTTTCGACTCAGGACCGGACACAACAGAATGCGACAACATATGTACCGGAAGCTCTAAATTGGAACCAGTAAAATCTGCCCATGTGGAGTGTCACCAGAGAATGCTGACCATGTCCTCCAAAACTGCTTTCTTTACCAAGAGGCCCGAACAAATTACTGGCCCCAAAACACCCCAAAAGAAAGAAAACTATATGGAGAGTTGAAGAGTTTCCTGATTTGGAAACCACTGTGCAGTTCATCTCCTATATTGGTCTAGTCATCTGAACGCTCCAACATGAATATGAAAATGAGAACGAAGAAGAAGTAGAACGCCAAGCCACGTAACCAGATAAAGGTCTTCCTCTAACAAATAAATTTATGTTAGAAAAACCTTGCTAGGTCGTCAATGTCAAGTTTTTGAGAAGTTGCTTTTCTTTGCCAAATCAAAGTTTC